GCCGCGCCGAGCGCCATCACGGATGAGGACTACTTCGGGAGCGCGGCCGAGTGGGGCGACGAGGCGGACGGAGGCCAGGTGAGGGGGGCGCCCCCCGAGGAGGACTGCTCGTCTCCGTCGCCGGCGGGCTGGCCTGCGTGGTCACCGAGTAGTTCAAGCACAGCCCGGCGCGTCCCGCGGCCCGACCACGCCCCCAGGCTGCGTAGTCCCGCCCCTCCGCACGCCACTGTCCCCCAGGGGTCCACTGTTCCCTCCCTTCCCCTGTGGGGTTGGGTGGTCCAGGGGGGCCCGTCCTGACTCTCGGAGGAGGCTCGGGAGACCCCTGCAGCGTCCATGCCTCAGTTTCCCCAGCGCTCGGTGAGGGTCCTGGCTGGTTACCCATGCGGCCACGACTTGACCCCTTGCCCACTTGGGCTCCCGCGCAGCGCTGGTCCCCCATGGCGGGTAGACTCGGCCGCACCGGCTCTTCAAACTAGAGTTCGCTCTTTCAGAAGCTGCAGGTCAGCGTCACGCGGGAAAGCAGAACTTTGGGCACTTTTGCATGGTTCAGGGTTGGTCGACCAGAAACGTGTCGGGTTCCGGGCTGATTGCATTTGTCCTTTGGGCTCCGTGACTTGGAAAAGTGGACAGCCGAGCTTTCCAGGGCTTGGCGTCGGAGCAGAGCGGGGAGCAGGCCGCTTTGTTGGGTGCCCTCAGGTGCCTTCCACTCCCAGAGGTGTGGTTTCCACGCCGTCTTCACCGCACATCACCAGGGCTTGTCTTCAGCGGAGCCACTGTTGTTGTCATGTGCCGTCGAGTCGGACCGACTCGTAGCGATCCCTGCTTGGGTTTCCGAGGCAGTATCACTACGGAAGTAGATTGCTCCATCCTCCTTCCGAGGAGTGGCTGGTGGGTTCAAACCCCTGCCCTCTTGGTTCGCAGCCAAGTGCTCAACCCCTGCGCCACCAGGGCCACATCCCCTGAAGATCGAGGTACATCCAGCGTTATTCTCATGGTAGGGCTTCCCCGAGGTCCACGTTCTGGCGCCCCACCCCGGGACACCTATCCGGTGGATCTGATGTGACACCGAGGACTTGGCTTGCTCACAGGAGTTAGGATTAGTTACCTCTGGGAAGAACAGGTGGTCCCTGACTCATCGCTTCGGAGGGTCGTCTTTGGTTTTGTGGTACAAACATGAAAGATTGGTAGCTCATCGTTAGCGGTATGTCTTACATACAATGGCACAGCGATAACGTGCCCTCAAAGATTAAGACTGGGTTTATGTAGATACTTTTAGTAAAAGGCAATAATAATGGAAATTTGAAAAAAAAAAGAACAATGAGGCATTTGACTTATGTCAGAACCAACTTACCCCAGAGTTGGCCCAACGGGACCCCTTTGTAAGGCGAGGGATATTTTGAAGGAGGAAAGGATGAGAGGTGGTTTCCCTCACTGAAAGGGGCCTTAGAAGAGGGCAGTGGAAGCGCGGTACAGAGATGTGAAGATGCGGGGTGTGCTCTGGGGGCTGCGTGGTCCTGTACGGTCGGCCGCCCGTGGAGGCAGCAGTCTGAGGTAGAGTAGGGAGCAGGTTCTGCAAGTGCACGTCCAGGAGTTAAGGGCAGGGGCGACACGAGTGGCGTGTGTGTTGGAGGGTTCCATAGCGTTGGAGGATCCCAGCGGTGCCGTAAAGGCTCATTGAGGGCCTGTCCTAGGTGCCTTCATCCCCCTGGAGGCTGGAGTTGTAAATGAAGAAAGTGAGGCCCAAACGCCTGGTGATCTGCCCAGGGGCCAGGATTCAGGTAACACAGACCTAGGGTCTTAGGGTGGGTTAGTGTTTGGGGCAGCCCATTGGGAATGTCCTAGTACTTGTCACATTGAGCTTTCAGGCTGCAGAGTGTTAGAACTGGGGCATGTCTTCAGGGTCATCGAGGCCCGTGCCCTCACTGAAAGACTGAACACACGAGTTCCTCAGGAATGGTAGAGCCGGGTGTGGACTGTGCTGACGCCGAGCTTTCATCCTGGTCCTCATTTGGCGCACGGATCTAGCGGGCTCTCGTTGGTGAGAGGGGTGGCCCGATGTTCAGTTCAGGCTCATTCGAACGGTGACCCTGCTTGGAGGAAAGAGAGAAAGTCGGGAGGTGACAGAGGGGTGGCATGAGCTGGGGTTTGAAAGATCGTGGTCGATCGAGGTGTGTGTCCCACATTCTGTGCGCTTAGCTCCATGTTAGGTGGCTTCTTGGAGGCCGGAAGATGTGTAAGGAGACCTCTGTGAAGTTAAGCTCAGGGGCTGCTGAGATGCAGACAGTTCCGTGTGGCTGCAGGGGGCAAACGGGCAAGAAACGGGCCTGGACCAGTGAAGACCGGGAAGGGCAAGGCCATGGTGGGATTTTTTTTTTTAAATCCTGAGAGAGGAAACTTTAAATAGGGGAGTGTGACCTCAGATTTGGGGCTTCTGAAGATAATGTGGCATCCACATGAAAGATGACTGGAAGGCAGGCTCAAGCCAGTAGGGGAAGTTGCTACTGGTGCAAAATGCATTAGATGAAGAACTGTGGATGCAAATAGGGAGAAAGAGCCAAACTGCGTAAGTGTGTGGGAGAGAGAATTGGTGGGTGGCTGTGACAGGACGTGTGTTGGGGTGAGAAAAAGGGAAAACTGAGGGTGGCTCCCAGGTTTCTGGCTTTGGGGTGGCGGGTAGGTGATGGACTCCTTTACTAAAACAGTGGTTGTAGGAATATCTGGTTTTAGGCATGAGTTGGGCTTGGTTTGGGACCTAACTGAGGTACTAGCAGAACAGTCACATGGAAGTGAGACTAGTAAACATTTGAGTCAGGGGCTCAGGAGAGAAACCCGGGCTAACCTCTAGGCTTAGGAGCAGGTAGGTGGCCCACGAGAAGATGTGGTGGTAGCAGTGCAGAGTACAGACATGGAAGGATGTCTGGGTGAACCTTCCTCAAGGCTTCCCACAAATGTGGTCTGAGAGGAGAACCCCCGTCTCCACAGGAGCCTGCTCCGTCTGTCCCCAGCGCCCTGGAATGGCAGTCCAGAGCAGGGATGGGCAAGCCTTTCTGAAAAGGACCAGAGGGTAGGTATTTTAGACCGTGCAGGTCTGTCTCTGTGGCGACCATTCACCTGTGCCGAGTAGCGGGCAAGCGGCCCTTGTTGGTAGGTGCTGCGGCGTTGGCTGCGGCTCGTGGCGACACGTGCACCACAGGATGACGCGCTGCCTGCTGCTGCGCCTTCCTGCCCGTCCTTCCGTGCTTGAGCCCGCTGTCCCAGCCGCTGTGTCAGTGCACCTCGTGGAGGGTCTTCCTCTTTTCCGCAGACCCTTGACCAAGCATGCCCTCCAGGGCCTGGTCCTGCGGAGCACCTGTCCACAGTTCGTGAGGTGGAGTCTCACCGTCCTGTCTTCTAAACAGCCTTCTGGCTCTGCTTCTAAGACGGATTTGTGTGTCCTTCTGGCAGTCCCTGGTGTATTCAGTATGCTGCACCAGCACCGTAATTCAAAGGCATTCATTCTTCTTTGGTCTCCCTTATTCATTGTCCAGTTTTCACATGCATATGAGGTGACTAAAAATAGCAGGGCTTGGGTCAGGTGCACTTTGGTCCTCAAAGTGTCACCTTTGCACTTTAACACTTTAACAGGTCTCTTTTTTTTTTTTAATTTAATTTTAATAGTGATTTGGATGAAAGTTTACAGAGCAAATTTGTTTTCCATTCAACAGTTCATACACATTTTGTTACATGACATTGATTGCAATTCCAACAGTGGAACAGCTCTCTTCCTACTTCCTCCCTGTGGTTACCTTTTCCCTGTGTCCTTCCTTCCTGTGTATTCCTGCCCTCTGAGCTGTCTCCATGTGCAAATACTGCCCTTCTCATCTCCCGTGGTTGATTGTCCTAACCTCCTGGGGTAATTGTTCACCTTGTAGTCCTGTCTCTTGTTTGGCTGAAAGTTAAGCCACGGGAGTGAGTTCAGTTCCGGACCTGAAGGGTGACTAACGGCCATAGTCTCAGGGGTTTCACCAGTCTCTCTATCAAAATCTCTTTTATGATTTTGAGTTTTGTTCCATATTTTTCTCCCACTCTGTCCGGGATCTGCAATTTTGACTCCTTTCCAGGTGGTTGATGGGGCTGGCTGATGGTCAGCTAGTTCCTCAGGTTTCAGAGCCATGCATGCTGAGGTTGCCACGGTCCACCAGTCCCTGGGACTAATTGTTTCCATTCATCTTTCATATTCTTCACTCTGTGCTTTGAACGAGAAGAGACCTGTTGTTGGATTTTACATGGCCACTCGCGAACTTTTAAGACCCCGTTTGCTACTCAACGAAGTAGGGTGCAGAACAGTTTTTGTGTAGTATGTTATACCAGTTGAGCTTGATGTCCCCCACGACCATGGTCCTGAGCCCACGAGCCCAGCAAGTCACTCTCTCAAGGTGTTTGCCTGTGGCTGGGAAGCTGTCCTAACTTTGCCCCCTCTTAGCTCTATTATGTATATGGACATTGTTATAGCACATACGGATACGGATGTAGAAATGTCACCTGCCAGGCCTGTATATGGTCCTGGGTGTGTACCTGATCGTGTTGCCGTCTACCTAGGTATCTACCTATGGGTTAATGTGTGTTACCAGTGATACTGTAGTATTGTGTGTGAAAGTACTTACTTACCTTTGTTGTGTGTACCTCGTATGCACCTCTTGAAAGAGGTCTTTTGTAGCAGATTTGCTCAGTGCAGTATGTCATTTGGTTACTTGACTGCTGCTTCCATGACCATTGATTGTGGATCTTGATAAAATGAAATGCTTGACAACTTCATTATTTTCTCCTTTTATCATGATGCTGTTTATTGGCCTAGTTGTGAAAGTTTAGACAGTAGTGAAAGAATGGGGGCAGCTCTGGTGGCATAGTACCTGAGGCATTTGACTGCTAACCAGAAGATTGGCAGTTCAAACCCGCCAGCAACCCCTCAGAAGGAAGGTTGGGCAATCTACTTCCGTGGTGATACTGCCTCGGAAACCCGAGGAGGGGGTCTCCGACTCACCGGTAGTGAATTTGGGAAAAGAATGGGAATGGCAGTGTTCCAATAAAACTTTATTTATAAAAACTGAGAAAGGGGCTGGATTTGACCCTGGGCCATGGGTTGCTCGTGTGGCCCAGCCCTTAACTGCGTTTAGCTTGAGTAAGGCTTGTTCCCCTTACTAGTTGGGGAACTGTTTGGAAAGACAGTCATGTCTTGTCATACAGTTTTCTTAGGTTTCCTGGGGTGACGAGCACGTGCTTAGTCCAAAGTAAGGGTTCAGAAAGCATTTGCTTGTTGGTTAGGATGCCAGCATTAGGATGGGGCCTGGGAATCAGCCCACCACTGTCATCAGCAGAGGGAGAAGCTGGCCTGGCCGTTAGGTCCCTCGGTTGCCTACAAGCACCTTGAGATGAGAACGCAGCCAACCCGCTGAACTGAGGCGAGCTGGTGATGCGTGCCTTCTAGGGATGGACTGATGGCTGTACCTTCAAGAGTCACCGTGGAAGAATTTAACTGTTGCCATGGAGTGGATTCCGACTCACAGTGCCCCAGGGGACAGAGGTGACCTGCCCCACGGGGTTTCCAAGGCTGTCATCTTTACAGAAGTAGACGGTGTCATCTTTCTCCCGTGGAGTGGCTGGTGGGTTTGGACTGCTGACCTTTCAGCTAGCAGCCAAGTGTTTAACTTAACCATTGTGCCGCCAGGGCTCCTTAGGAGTTTGATAAGAAAGTGTTACAGGATGTGCCTGAGATGATAGTAATGAGGACAGTAATAATAGTGAACACTTGTTGAGCTCCTAACAGTGTCATGTCCAAAGGTAGCTCATGGCATCCTCACAGCAGCCCGATGGGAAGAGGTTCTGCCACCATCTTTGTGCAGTGGGGGGAGCGGATACACGAGTGCTTACCTAACTGGTGTTGCTGTGGCACCCAGCTCACCAGCCAGTGGGGACGCACAGTGCACAGGCACTCGCGGTGATTCCAGGGGTGTTTTCTTAGCCACTCAGTTCCTGTCCTGCCTACTTCATGAGATTGTTGAGAAAGTCAACTCATGCGTGGGGGCTCCTTTAGAAACAGTGCTACGCGGCTGTAAGGTGGGCGCAGCAGTTAAAGTGCTCAGCTGCCGCCCGAGAGCTCGGTGGTGCAAACCCCCAGTGGCTCTGTGGGAGAAAAGCCCTGGCTGTCTGCTCCTGTAAAAATTGCAGCCTAGGATACCCTAAGGGGCAGCTCCACTCTCTCACACGGGGCACGGGGGTCAGAATCGACAGCCCCCAACAACAAGGTGAGATTGTTTGGAATATTCATATTAATGGCATTGCCCCCAGCAGGAGGATGACTATGGAGAGGGAGAAGATGACGCCGAGGTCCAGCAGGAATGCCTCCATAAATTCTCTACCCGTGATTATATAATGGAGCCCTCCATCTTTAACACGCTGAAGAGGTGTGTGCGGATGGTTGTCTGTGTTGGGAGGATGGGGTGGTGGTTTACGCACACCTCTGCAGTCGAGCCAGAAGACGGTGTGTGAAAGGGTCCCCACTGTGCTCCTGGCATGGACGGTGGTAGGCCCCCCTTGAACAGTCTTCGTCACATGCCTGCCTTCATCCTGAGCCTCTTACCGCCCCCTCAGGCCACCTGCAGTCGCGGTGCTGCTCCAGCTCCTCTCGCTCTCTCTAGGTATTTTCAGGCGGGAGGGTCTCCAGAGAATGTTATCCAGCTGCTGTCAGAGAACTACACCGCTGTGGCCCAGACCGTGAACCTGCTGGCCGAGTGGCTCATCCAGACAGGTGCGAGGCCCCGTCCTTGCTAGCCCTCCCCTTTCAACAGACCTTTCTGACGGGCTGTTGGATTCTGGGTGTGCTGGCCCGTTGGGAAGGTGCTCTGGTTTTCCGGGGTGTAGGTGTCGTCTGTGTGGAGGCCGGGCTTCTTGCCCATCCCCACCTGCTTGGTTCTTACCTTGATTCCGTCGCTGAGGGGAGCAGCGCGCAGGCAGTCATGCTTCTCGTCAGCTGTTCTCCCTGCCGTGCTGGTGAATTGCAGGGTTAGACCGTGGATGTGCAGTGTTTCTAAGGGACATGCTGTAGCAGGCAGCAGATAAGGGCTAGCGTGGGACTGGCTACAGTTAGGGCTTTGCACTAATATGACCAAAGTAGAGCACGCCTGCAGGTGCACTGAGCAGGTGCAGGTGACACCACCGAAGGACTGTCCTGAAGCGAGCTGTCCCGCTGTTAGGTGCGAGGGGCCCCTTGCTGGCCTCCACCTGCGCCCACTTTACTGTAGGGTACGTTTTTCCACCTCCCACCTGCCAGTTTTGACCGTTTGTCCTTGGTGAGGTTTGGAAGATGGCACTGCCTTTTCTGTGTCACAGTATTACATCCTGCCCCTTACCATCTAACGTCATTAGCAAGTGTGTGTACGCGCCATGCCCCTAAACAGGAGCTGTGTTGATCCTCCGTTCCGGGAAGAGCCACGCCCCTTTCTGGAGTGCTGTGCGTGGCTGAGGGCGGCTGTTCCATGTCGCTGTCTGTGTTCTCCTCCAGGTGTTGAGCCCCTGCAGGTGCAGGAGACTGTGGAAAACCACCTGAAGAGCTTACTCATCAAACACTTCGACCCCCGCAAGGCAGATTCTATCTTTACGGAAGAAGGAGAGGTGAGGGATACCCGCTCCTCAGGCGGCATGCTGTGTGGGCGTGGGACAGCGTGGTATCATTCCCCTGGTACCAGTCCCTAGTACCTGCACCGTATTGTGCAAGCAGAGGAACAGCCTCGTATCTTCCTCTAAAAACAGCCCTTTGGGTGCCATATTGTGTAGGGGAAGGAATGTCATAGTGTCTCTTCCTAGTACCAGCACCTTGGGCGCCATACTGTGCAGGCAAAGAACAGTGTGGCATTGCCACCAGGGTGGGAGACAGAAGGTGCCCTTCACACGTCACGGTCAGGGTAGTGAGAGGCCCACGAATGGAGGTGGGCAGGAGGAGCAGCGGGTTCACCCTCCCACCCCTCTGAGGGTTGGGGCGGGGGCCGTGTTCATCCAGGTCCCTCCGAGAAGCAGGTGCAAGAATGGGGAGAGATGGTGGAGGAGACCTCGGGGGCGTGGGGAGGGGCAGGCAGAGGCCAGGGTGCTGGTGGACGGTGCTGCAGGTCTGCCCCAGGAAGGTGATGTGGGGGGAGGAAAGTGGGGTGGGAGGGGTCTTAGATTGCAGAGCAGTTCTCAGAAAGGGTCGGTAGGGGCAGTGGGAGGCTGTGTGCCACAGTGACCCATCACAGGGCCCCATGTCTCCTGGTAACGGGCCTGCCTTTGTGTCCCTGCCTGGCCCGCTTGGTGGCTGGGAGCAGCCCGTGGAAAGCCTGGCTTTGGCCGAGGTGGAGTGGTGGACTCAGAGTGCAGCCCTGGGCTGTCAGTCACATGGTGGGAGACTGAGAGGCACTTTGGTCACCGTCACAGGTGACAGGAAGGCCACCTGCACTGTTTAACTTACCTCTGTCTCATGGTATGCATGTCCCATCACCACCATGACCAACAGCCTCCTTTACCATGACCAGGTGAATTGCATGGTTCCTGGTACCATTACTGAATGTTTTGATCAAAGATTGTGTAGAAGAATCTGGATCAGTACAGAATTTCAAATTCTCATGGACTCCAGACTTTCTGGAGCCATGGAGGCTGGATAAAACCCCCAAAACGGTTGCCCTGAGATCATCTTTAAACCTTAAACCAAAAGCCTTCCTAAAACCAACACTAGTTCAGCTTAACTGGTAAAGCAGGTCTGCTTTGAGCAGTGTGCTCTTTTAGACCTATCTCTGTGAGTCAGCCTGACAGCAACTCGCAAGGTTAGATGGGAACCTGAGCCGGCAGTGAGTGTCTGTGACGGGGAGGAACCGTTTGGAAAAGCAGAGTGACAGTGGTTGCAGGGTCTGAGGAACGTCATGTTAGTGTCACTGAAATGTATGTGCAGAAACTGTGCAACTGGTGCGTGTTCTACTGTGTATATCCTCAACAACACCAACAACAAATACATTAAACAAAGTAATAAGCGACCCTGCTCTGTGGCAACACAGCTGGTTTTGCGTGGGCTCGTGGTACCGCTGCACACAGGCTTACGCTGGACCCTGGTGCGCTCCTGCAAGTGCCTCGTGGCCCCTGTGACGTTGAGTCAGGGTCCAAAAGCTGTCAGAGGCATTCAGGTGCCCTAGCTGTGATGCTCAGCTAACCGTGTGGCCGTGACCAGCTCTGGGGACTTGGGACAGAGCTAGAGGCTCCCGAGGCTCACGGCCTGTGGCTGTCGGACAGCGCAGCCTCGCCTCCTGCGAGGTGAGAGTCCCGTCGGGCTGGGCGTGTGTTGCAGACCCCGGCGTGGTTGGAGCAGATGATCGCGCACACCACGTGGCGGGACCTCTTCTACAAGCTGGCGGAAGCCCATCCGGACTGCCTGATGCTCAACTTCACAGTGAAGGTGAGGCCTGCCCTGGCCTGGGGTGGGGCAGGAGGCCTGCTGAGGAGCGGCTGCGGGGGGTGCTTGCTGTTCTCTCGCCCGTGAAAGGTCGCGTTGTGCAGTTGGTGATGGTCTTGTTTCTCTTTGGTAACCGTAAATCGGAGAAAGACAGGGCCGAGAGTTGTCTCTGTTTTTGGCCCAGCATTGGCTGTGCACTAGGACTCGGCAGGGGCTTATGACAGAGGCAGCTCTGGCCAGAAAGGACCCTTTTCAAAGTGCCTGCTCTGTCCCCTACGTCTCACACATGAAGAAACGAGGAGAACAACGGTTGGTCTGGGTCACACATCTCGTTAGTGGCAGTTGGGCGCACGATGAGTTGTGCGAGCCCTCTCCCAGTACTGGCTCTGCCTCCCCAGACACTGACGACAAGCCAGCTTTCTGACGGTGGTCCCTGCGTGCTGACACCTTGTGCACTGACCTCTGTGCCTTTTAGCTGATTTCCGACGCAGGATACCAGGGAGAGATCACCAGCGTCTCCACGGCTTGCCAGCAGTTGGAAGTGTTCTCCAGAGTCCTCCGCACCTCTCTTGCTACAATTTTAGATGGAGGAGAAGAAAACCTGGAAAAAAATCTGCCGGAGTTTGCCGTGAGCCCTCTACCTCTGTCCCTTGTCTGTAAAGGAGGCTGGTGGGAGGCGCCCCTGCCGGGGGGGTGGTGGTGGT